AAAAAAATAATTGTCAACAAGACTATGTCTTGTTTATAAAATCGTACTGCTTGCTGTGTTACCAGCTTAGAGGTATGAAGGAGTACATGTCAGGAGTTGCAATTTGGCACAGAGTATTAAGTGCCCAAATCATGCGCGCATAAAAAAAACCTGACTTGTAGGTACTGGGGACCGAGAACCAAGTGAAAGTAAAATACAAAATGGCGACTCTCTCTACAAACAGGCAAACCAAATTCAGGTGGTGGGAGTACCTGACACACAGTCGTTCAAGGAAATGAACTCTGACCCTAGGACTGAACACGTAGTAATTTCTTTCTTAATTAAAATTTGTAATCTAATTTTGTAAATTTGGGAGTGCTTCAAATATAACATTAAAACAGGGTTTTATGTCGTTACAAGTAGGTTTTTTAACATTGTCTGGTATAGTAAAATCGTGGGATCAGTAAAAATTTGACGTTATAATCAGGTTAAACTGTATNTTATTTTCAAAAAAATATACGTATTTTGGAAATGTTGAGTCGAATTAGTCTAGAATCGATTAATTTTATGAAAGAAAACCTTTCAAACAGCCGTAGTCCGTAAACTATGATTCCTACAAAATTGATTCATAAAGAATGGAACGTATCTACCGTCTTATAGGGGGATCTACTGTAAATCATTTTTTGTAACTGTAACTGTAACAATTGTAACTGTAAATCATTTTTTGAATTAATTTCCTTTACTAAGAAGTGTTAAGTATGTAAAAATGTATATCAAAATGTAAGAAATTCAATAAAAATATTTTAAAAATCTATATTGCATTATTTCTATAATTATTGCAATTTATACTCAGCAAAATTTTCATAAATAAGTTTACAAATTAAACTTTATTACACAATAAATCTACTATATACATGTATATACACTAAAGTAAACACGTTTTCCACACCATAGCACTAATTTGGTGATGTGACAATATCCTAATCTCTATGTGCCCTGGCCTGGATTTGTAAAATATAACCTATATTCGACTCCACCATCACATATAACTGTTGAAAAGATTACAGCTTATCAAATATGCACGATAAGACTGTCTTTGGGAGTTATCTTTTCAGGTTTACAGGAAGACACAATAAAAATTGTCCAGTATGAACGTAGAAGATGGACCAAAACATTACATCTTCAAATGCGTAATGTTAGAACAGGAAAGACAATAAATTGAACTCTTGGTACTAGAAGCCAGAGGAACTTGGCATGTGATCTTAAGAATCTTCTTGAAATTAGGAACAAATATCATCACTTTAAGGGCCTCACCAAACATTATAATAGCTGCATTAAGCAGACTCAACAGTTCCGGAGTGGTTGAGTATGGAGTTCTGTTGAAAATCCTTTACAGTAGTGCTGTTGTGCTGTTTTGGAACACATTTGGTAGCCTCTTTCATTTACGCTACCTTTTGCTAGTTGTAACTGATAAAAGATGGCTGCACCCATACAAGAAAATATAATTATTATATATGAGTATAAAGGCATTCATTACAGCATTAATGTGCCATTAATTTAGAAAAATATAATTTTTTTAATGACAATACTCTAATATAAAATAAAAATTTATTTTTATTATTGTTATTTTAGCAAAACAATTTATCAGTTTTTTAATTTTAATATGACAATAATTTAAGTTGTAAGCCTAATAAAAGTTAAATTTTCATTTGTTTGTATTTTGTTGTTATTAGAACTTTAATAAATTCAATTTTGTCACTTTAATAATAGAATAGGTATATTGAATTTATGTTGGAAAGAAGATTGGAAAACACATAATAAAAAGAAAGAGGAAAAGAGGAAGACCAAAGATGTGTTGGAAAGATAAGAAGACTTGAACCAGAGGAGACTTAAGAGAGTTCTTGATAGTGAGAAATGGAAGAAATGTACTAGAGAAGAAAACCCCGATCCCATATAAACATGGGAAAAGGCGAGGATAAAGAATAATAGAACAGGTATAAATCACGAACAATAAATAATGTTATTAGAACTGCGTATTAATAATTGTGATTTTTATCAATTGGATTAATTCTTAACATTCTACAGGAACAAAATTTTGGATATCGAGACGTTAAGAATCACTATATATGTCTCTAAAATTTCGATACAACGTATATTCTAATCGATGTCGTCCAATGCAAACACAATTGCCGACTCCATCTTTAAACATCGATTAAAGTTCAAACACGTGAAAGCAAAAGCTAGTGCAGGAGTGGCCAACCTTTTGCATACCATGCGCCAATTTTTTGACAGACGAGTTCAAATGTGCTATATAACTCGAACACTTTTTATAAAGTCTTACGTTCAATGTTAGGGGTTGATAAATAGAGATAAGAATAAATCTGCTTCGCTTAGGAAAGAAAAGGGAATAACTTAATCATGCAGTTGAATTAATTAATTTATGACAGTTTATTGAAGCACCAATTTACAACAGTCAACAATGATCTCCTGTACGAGAGGGTGATTGCTTAATGATGGTGCTATGCTGCCAGTCTTGTTTGGTGAAGATTGCTATGCACCACAATTACTGGCACTGAGAACGAGATCAGCTTGGAATAACTTTAATCACAATAAATATTTTCGGCCATTTATACGCCTGTAAACTGATCGGAAATAAAGATCGCAAGACTCAAAAT